GCTGAGGACCTCTGGGCGTTGAAGTCCACAAGTCTTAAAGTTGCCAACGTTGGAGACCCCTGCTATAGAGCACTGCACACCAGAACAACTAGACACAAGGACAGTTTTTTCCCAAATGCCATCACTCTTCTAAACAAATAATTCCCTCAACACTGTCCAATTATTTACAAAGTCTGCATTACTATTAATCTTCTCATCACTCCTTATCACCCATCCCCTCCCATTTCTGACTGTATGACTGTAACTTTGTTGCTTGTAACTTTATTGTCTATATTGACTGTTTCCTAGTATGATTTGTATCCTATGTTGTCCTTTATGATTCTTGACGAATGTATCTTTTCTTTTTATGTACCCTGACAGCACATGCACCAAGACAAATTCCTTGTGTATCTAATCATACTTGGCCAATAAAGAATTCATTCATTCATTCATTCATCCATCCATTCATTCATTCAAGTTGCCAATATTGAGGAACACTGCATTAAAAGGATAAGTTGATTGATCTTCAGAATATCAAAAGCACCTCCAATCATGAGGCCTTTGGTTATACGTTTTTCTAACTTCACTCATACAATATGTACAGCAGGCCATTTGAAGAGCTTGGCATTATATTTTCCCAGCCTCCTAAACTTAGCTACTTTGGGTGTTGGCCCAGCCTGACATAGAAACCCAAACTTCTTGGCTAATGTTTGTTTCATCAGTGAGGATTGAAAAGATGATGGGAAAAAAATAATAAACTTACTTGGAAAGGATAAGGAAACCTTTCTATAATGGAAATCTGCTCGTGTTCATTTGCATCTTCTTTTCGCTGCATGCAAAACAGTTGAAATAAATGATACATGCATGCATGCATGCACAACATACACATGTGCATATAATGAGTACACCAAAGCAAATTCTATGCTTGTGCATCACACTTCGGGGGAATTTGAAAAGCTGGGAACGTTCCACCTGGCTCCCATAGGCAAAATTTTCATAATCTAACTGTGAAATTTCCCTGTTGCCGAGCCAACTAGACATCATTCTTTGTGGTTGGCCTTTCATTCCTAGCCAAGGATCCTAGTTTGGGTATGCAAGTAAAAAACAAAAAACAAAAAGCAAACAATGCTTTTTTCATCACTTGACTGACAGCTCCCTATAGCAGGAGGAGTTGCAGTGAGAATGGCCCACCAACATGCCACAGTATCTGGGACTAAACCAGCATTCTTAGAAGAGGCAGAAATGTCTCCTTACTGATATCCGTCGTTCCGGAGGAGGGTTGTTTTCTGGAACCACAATCTCGACACAGGTGATTTTATCAATGTCCACCGAGCCCTTCTTACTTCCTCTGCGCTGCAGGAAGACAGTGAAAATATTTGGAGGGTTTAAAAAAAACAAAACATTCCCAGCCAGGACTAATCTTAACCAGTCCCCCAAGATAAGCACACACCTTTCAGTGCTGTGGAATGCTGCCAAAAACAGAAGTATCCAATTAACTATAAAAGAAACCAACCGAAGTACAAGGAAAAACCAACCAGAGTACACAGAGCTTCAAGGAGGACTCGGAACCGATCGAACTACTTGGCTTCCTGCAAAGGTTTCATCATTTAGGCCTGACTTTTATCCCTTATGGGAGGGGCTATCACCTACCAGCCTTACTCCTGAGTGACCCCTTTTGTCTCAGCTACTCTTGCCTTCTAGCAGTTCTGCACATACACACACTGGGAACAGGCTCCCCTTCTTCCTCTGCCTCGCTGCTGCCAGGCTTTGGAGGCAGCACCCCCTCCCAGATGGTCCTGGCCCCATCTCTGCATCGGACGCAGGACCCTCGTCTGAGTCCTCTCCAGACTCCCAGACTGGTCCCCGTTCTTCCCCACTGTCCGATTCCGCTGCCATCTGCAGAGGCTTCCGGTGAACCACAACATCACTTGACAAATGTCTCACTTAGAAATGTTGGAGCTCAATTGTGGTCGTAAGTTGAGGACTACCTGTACTATCAAATTTAGGGATGAAACGGGTGATAAAGTGGGAGTATCCGGTTGTTGATGTGTCTGAGAGCTAATCCCTTTTCCCCTTTCGATAAATCTGGTTAAAGAAGACTTTCTGCAAATCTTGTTTTCTGTCGTTCAAGGGTCTCCGAGGACTCACCCCACGTTCGAAGTCGTACTCATAGTAAGAGAGCTTGGTCTCTGTCAGCATAAAGAGGCGCTTCTTGAAATTCAGCGGAGAAGTCTTTTTCTTCTGCTGGGAACGTTTCAGAAAGATGCTCTCTAGGATGACATTGGACATGGCTCCTCTCCTCTTCCTCTCCCTCTTCCTCCTCCGTGATCAATTTGCTGGACTGCCGCTGCCAACAACCGTGAAATCGCTAAGCAAAATTGAACAGTGGCATTTATTTCTATCCACATACATACATACATACCAAATTCTTAAACAATGGTATTTATTTCTATCCAATCATAGATAGATATATAGATGGATGGATACATAGATACATACATACA